GTGTAATTGATAAAAATTGAATGATATTTACAGTTGTAATTTTCCAACATTCCCCCTTATATTTAAGGAAGAATTTGTCAGTTTCATTCTTGTTGAATAAAATAAAGAAACAAAACCATTATTGACACTGAGTTGTCTTTGTGTTATTTGAAGATGTTAGAATGTAGTTTTTAGTTTTACCCTAGATGTGTGCATGTATGTGTGCATGTTCAAGTAAGGGCGGGTGCATGTATGTATACGATTATGTGTTCATGTGGAACCTGAGACAAGGTTTCTCCTTGGTCTGGGTCTTTTTTTTTTTTTTTTGCTGGTTTTTTTGTTTGTTTGTTTGTTTGGTTGGGGTTTTTTTTTTTGTATTTTTGTATTTTTGAGACAGGGTTTCTCTGTGTAGCTTTGGAGCTTATCCTGGCACTTGCTCTGTAGACCAGTAGAACTCATAGAGATCCGCCTGCCTCTGCCTCCCAAGTTCTGGGATTAAAGACCACCAATGCCCGGCTACTGGTCTGGGTCTTATCAGTTTGGCTGACCAACAAGGAACTCCAGAGTCTCCAGTTTCCATCTCTTAAACACTGGAGTTACAAGCATGCATCACCATGCCAGACCTTTTCAGTGTGAGTTTTAAGAGTCAAACTCAGATCCTCATGTCTGCACAGCAAGCACTTTATTCATGTTTGCACTTTATTGACTGAGATGTCTCTTCAACCCATTCCTAGACTTTTTAGCTCAAAATTTCTTTTAGCTTGATTTTAGTAAGGTTTCTGAGTGATTAGAATAATCTCATTAAGATGAGGCATCTTCTAGGCATATAATTAAGGATATGTTTCTTAATATAGCATAGAATGAAATGAATATGTGGCCTTAGCCAAATATGTTAGCCTGCACTTAGTCACAGGATATCTTCTTCAAAATGCTTTTTATGGAACACAGTAGAAAATCATCATAATAAGTACTGTAGTCAATGATGCTGTAGCATGTAGGAAGTTTGAATTAGATCCTGAGAAGTGCATGATGCGATCCCTAGGAAATGCTTTTGGCATGACCAGGTTATGTATTGGAGTGGGAGAAGGATCATGTTGAACTCAGTTGTTTAAATCCTTAAATCAATAGAAAACTCAACAGTAAAAGTTACTCATTAAAAATAAAGACAGAGAAATAGAAGTGTTGCACAATTTAGAAACTTTGTAGTTTTCTTTCTGTGTATGGGTCAAATTTTAGAAGCCTTCCTATTTGGTGCACACTTGTGGTGTGAGTTGTTGGGTGTGTAAATAGATTTTTTAGCTCAGATTTTCAGGCAATAAAGCCATTCAGGAGGTGCTTCAGGCTTACCTTACCCCTGAATACCTCTCCTTACACTCAGTCTGACCCTTGACAGACACTCAGGAAATGGAAATCATTCATACTCTGGTCAAAGTTGAAAACCAAATGGATGGTTACAAATTCTACCACTAAGATTTCATTTCTCTGTTATCTTTGAGAATTGCCGCTGAAAAGAGCTGTAATACCGCAGCATTCTCCTCCATTGGTGTTGGCATGCATATCATTACCGTGGTTGTTTCCTTATCCTCGGTTGGCTAGTCACAGTTATTCCTGCTGAGGCTCTGAGTGCAGAAAAGTGTCACTCCAGCACCCCTGCACCTGCTCTTAGTGACAAGACCGTCTGACACCCCCACCTCACGTGTGAGTGGGCTCATGCTGTCTACTTTGTGCTAGACACCTTAGGTCACTTCACTGCCTGGTTTGTGTCTGTCTGATCCTAATTCTACACCTTCTGTTTTTCTTCAGCAAAAGAAGCACTTCCCACAAGCAGGGCAAGGGCTGTTTGTCTTGCTTCAAAGAAGAGAGGCAGCAAAATGACATTTTTTGAAAGAGATATCTTGTGTCGAGTAAGGATAAGTTAGCTGCTGCTGCTTCTCCTCCTCCTCCCCCTTCTTTTTCCTCTTTCTTCTTCTCCTTCCTCCTCCCTTTTCTCTTCTTTCTCCCTTCTTTTCCCTCCTTATTCTTTTCCAAGACATAAGCTCACTGTGTATCCCTGGCTGCCCTGGAACTCACTATGTGGACCAAGCTGGCCTCAAATTCATGGAGATTCATCTGTCCCTGCCTCCTAAGTGCTGAGATTAAAGGTGCATGCCACCATCTGGTTATTAGCTTTTTATGTATAGAGGACAGTCTGAGTCAGGAATTATCTCAAACCATCAAGAAAATAAACTAAACAAAGAATTAGAGTTTTAAGACATAGTATAAAAACAATCCAAAGTGTATTCTAGTAAAATTCATTTAAAAGTTGCAAAAGTAAAAAGATAAATTTGAACCCACAGTTTTTACTGTAGTCCTGCTATTAGGATTCTCCTTGCTGTACCATAGCCTACTGGTTTTCTAGGTTGCAGAGGTCAAATGCAGACTCCCCTTAGTAATCTGGACAAATTTGTCCTGCTTTGGACACTATTCAAAGCTAACAGCTTTTTGGTTTCTTTTATGACTGTGCCAGAGTTGTATGTTCAAATATATACTACTCTACTTTCAAAATAGAGGGTGACAGGATGCTTGGTTGTTCTCTGAAGAGACAGACAAGTTTCAGTAAATCCTCTCTGACTGTGGGAGGAATTCTCCATTGCATCTCTTTGACCTTGTGAACTTGACCAGCAAGCATGTGGTTTCATAAGATTTGGTGCTGAGTTCTGTCAAGCACAGGCATTCAAGGCACTCCATCCGTGTCTCTTCTGCTTCTCTTACCCAACGCTTTGCTGCCATCTCCATGGTGGGTCTCTGTGGAGCAGAGGATGCATGGAGCAAGAATATTCTAACTGAAACAGGACAGTATAGGTATTGCTGGTCTTGCCAAGTAAAACAACCTGTTAATTTTTGTTATCTCTGTGTTGTTGTGAAAGGAAAGCATTTGCTAGCTAGTGCAGCATATCAAATGCCAGGGCCGTCTTAATTTTCTCAAGAAGGAGCTTCCATCTGGAGTGGCAACTGCAGTTGACATCGTCTTCTAATTAAGTTTATGATAATCTGTCATGGTTCTCCTTCCCTTTTCTATTTTAATGTTTGCCATGTTTTTCAAGTCTATTAGTTTTTGCAGTGGCAAAACTAGAGAAAGCATTTACTAAGCATGTGACACTCAAGTCCCTGCTCTCTTGGGATGCCTTGCTGAAGAATGAAGCTTTGTTTGTTTGTAACTAACTCCTCCTACATCAATTTAGCCACTGCTGAGACATTTGAAGTTTTTAGTTCAACAGTTGTTGAAAGAACACACTCTAATAATGAACTCAATGATTGGAAAAATAACACCAATACAATTTCTTAGGTTTGTTTTTAGACATTTGATGTTTTCTGGTGCTGTTAAATATGGGATTGCTTTAAACTTTTACTTTCCAATTGTTGCTTGCATGTATGTAGAAATTCAGTTGCTTTTTCACTTACTGATCTCTTATGCTGAGACCTTGCTGAATTTGCTTAGTATAATAACTCCTCTCTTCCCCTGTCTTTCTCTTGTTTTGTTTTATGTCCTGATAATTACCTGAAAGTACTGACAGTTTTATTTCTTTCCAGTTATTTTCTATCTTCTTTATTGTTGCATTGGCTAGGAAGGACCTCCAGTGCATTGTTGAATAGAAGTAATTGTATCATTCCTAATCTTGGGGGTAAAAGCCAAGATCTGGGCACTGGGTTCATGAACCTCAATGGAAAACCTTAAAATGTTTATTGCGTGGCTATGTATATAAGCATATACATGCACATATATCTATACTGTGTCGACTGAATACATGGCTTAAACAGGATTTCAATTGCTGTGCTAAAATACCCTGACCAAAAGCAGCTTGGGGAGGAAAGTATTTATTTTATCTTATGACTGGATGATAGAAGTCAGGACAGGAACTCAAACCAGGCAGGAGCCTAGACACAATTTCTGTAAATTCATAATTGAGGCATTACTATTTTTGAATGAGGGCTTTTGTATTTTTTAATGAGGCCTTTAATTTTTATGTAGATTTTAAGGAAGAGCTGTATTGAACTGACCTCCATAGTATTTTATTTTAAACTACCTTTTTCATGGTCCCTTTTGTAGGAGAATTTTTTTACTTTAATACTCAACACTAAATTCTAGATCTATCTACACAGTCTTGTCTGCTTAAATTGTAAACTGAGCCAGTATATCTACAGTCTTATACAGTTTCATAGCTCTCCCTCCTCCTTTATGTATATAATGACAGTGTATGTGTGTACCATAACATCTATACTAATATATTGTTGAGTGTTCAATAAGCATTATGTAGAAGACAGATAAGAATTAAAAGGGTTTAATTTCTTGGAAAGAAGATGGGAAACGGCAATATTTTTAAAACAAAGATTATCAGATTATTTAAAATTTTTATATGATATGTGAATCCCTTATCTCTCCTTTATCCCAGCCATTTATAGATATTGAAGAGTAAGACAGATTATTAAAAGATAATTTAAGAGATGGGGAGATGCGGCTTCATGTCATTGCAGGAAGTGATACTTCCTGTGGGCCAGGAACAGCTGGGCATTCAGGTAGACTCAGAGACTGCAAACAGGGACTGAGCACACCTCATTTAGGCTCTAAAATCAATTAGAAAAATGTTGAGCTGAATGCTGACTAAAATGTATCCCCATAACTGAGAAAGTAACAGAATTCTTTGTCTCACCCATCATGCTTTTATGGTCTTTTGAGGGTTTCTGATTATAAGGGAACTGATGAAATGCACAGAGCACTGGGAATGTTCAGCAGACAGTTTGGATCAGATTTGTGAGTATGGTTCTTAATATAAATGGTTTTCATTTTTCCTGATCTTACTGGGTAAGAGGAGAGTGGGGAGCTGGCTGGTTGATTTAATTTCTGTACCTGGACGGAGGAGAGAGAAAACTCACTTAGAAATTGTAACATGCTGTTGAGTTTTTACTTTACTTTTTGAAGTTATTTACAGTTACTGTGGACTAACACTGATTGGAAACTGTGACCACACTCTTGTCCTTGTCAGGAAGCTGCATTCAGAGAATGAGAAGGACACCTCCGTTGGATGAGCTGCAGCCACCGCCTTACCCAGACGACAGCGGCTCCCCTCACCTCTCTTGCACACCGTCTGAAGTCGGGGATGGGAAGCGTGAGGTTTCCCACTGCAGCAACAGCCCACGGTGTTCTTTCAACAAGTGCCCCAGCGAAGGAAGCACGGGGCATGAGGCGGAGAGCTTCCACAACAAAGGATATGAAGATGACGTCCCTAGTGACAGCACCGCAGTCCTCAGCCCGGAAGTAAGCAGAAGCATCCTGTCCTGCGGCTGCCAGTGCGAGCCCTCTGGAGGTTGAGGGCCTTGTCCTTTCCCTCTGGGTGACAGTAGGTCTTTACAGCATCTCAGGCCCTGTAGCTTCACATACCTGTGTCAAGCCTTCTAACAAACTCACTGAGGCTGCTACAGCCTATATCCCACACCCTTCCCATAACAAAGAGAAGGGTGAAGGACGGCTGTTGTTTCTCAGATACTTTACACAGAACATTCTAGAATGGTTTATCTTTTTGCTCATGTTTCATGCTTTGTATTATCACTTTATTTTGGGTTTTTATTTGTTATGTAATTTTTGTTATTTGTTAACATTTTATTCAGTGTTTCATAAGCCTTTCAAATTAATCTTAATGTATTTTCATTTCATAGACTATGAAAGGAACAAATGCTGGTTAGCTTTACTGGTGAAAATTCACCAGTAAATTTCCTAAACTTAGTGTGGCTGGCTGCTTTTGTTTGTTACTTTTCTGGAGTGAAAATGGCAACAAAATAATTGTTGTTTCAAAGCCTTTTTGTAATCCAAAAAGAATTTGTCTCATTCATTTTAGGATGAAGACTAAGGTAAAGAGGCCTCACATGTAGAGTTTTCTGTAGGATTTGCTTTCTTTTTCAAGTTTAACACAACAACCTTCTACAGTTTCCCCCTGCTAATGTTAACACTGTGACATGGTCTGTGCTGATAGTTGTGTGTCTTCTGTCTAAATAATGAAGGTAGTTTTTCAATACACAGTGTGATTAAGCTATAGACAGAGTTTCTTCTACCTTTCTAGTAGTTTTAGTATTGTCATGTAGTATCTGACCTAGAAGGAAATGTTGAATCGATACTTTGAGCGCAGTGTGTAACACCATCAGTTTCCTTGTGTGCTATCACCTAAACACATTTGAGAACTTTGTGTTTTGCAAACTGTATAAGGAGCCACCAACTTAACAGTGACCCTGGATTATTACAGTAGCCACAATAATATCTGACACATAGTCAGCTTTTTCATTGCTCACAGTCACTTCTTCAGGAAAAAAAATGCTAGTGTCAGAGAGAAACAGGCAGCTGTGTTCCAACCCAGGAGCCTGTGAGTACAGAAGCAGAGTTAGTGACAGCCACCTTACTCTGTACATTCTTGTTGTCCTGAGTTGTTGCTGGAGGATTTCTTTGTTGCAATAGTGCCATCTGAACACATTACAAGGCAACTCCGGAGGCCTTAATCACCAAAGTAAAATGTTCAAATGACAAGCAGATGCCTCTGTGTGTGTGTGTGTGTGTGTGTGTGTGTGTGTGTCTGTGTATGTCTGTGTGTGTGTCTGTGTGTCTCTGTGTGTGTGTCTGTTTGTGTGTGTCTGTCTGTGTGTGTCTCTGTGTGTGTGTCTGGGTTTCTGTGTGTGTGTCTCTGTGTGTGTGTCTGTGTGTGTCTCTGTGTGGGTGTCTGTGTGTGTCTCTGTGTGGGTGTCTGTGTGTCTGTGTGGGTGTGGATGGGTGTCTATGTGTGTCTGTGTGTGTGGGTGTCTGTGTCTATGTGTGTGTCTATGGGTGTCTGTGTCTGTGTGTGTGGGTGTCTGTGTCTGTGTGGGTGTCTGTGTGTGTATTTTCATCTATTCAGATGCAAAGCAGAAATTACACAAACTAAGATCTGGCGGGTTAACACACTTGGCATGGGATGTCAGAACAGATAGGTGGCAAGCCCACACTGGCTTGTCCAGGCCTGTGCATCTTTCTCACTGTCTACTCCTCAGAAGTTCTGTTTATCACCTGATAGCAAGGACCAGCATTGAGATTTGAAAAGGGGCACCCACAACTGGCAGTAAACTCTTGTTTATGGGAGAGAGAAAGGGGAAAATATACCTGTCTACCATGGGAACTTGCCAATTAGAGAAACTTGCTACCTGGGAAACAGGATTTTTCGTTATATTTCGTAAGCAGAGCCTATGGGTGATAAAACTCTTGGCTCTGGGTCAGAATGGTGAGGCACGGGCTTTTCCTCTCTAGTGTGTATGTGTTCCGTCACATATTCTTTGCAATCCCTGGATCTTATAGGTTGTGGCCTTAGGACTTCTGCCTTTGTCTCTCAGGCTGTTTGCCTATCTGTAGATACCCACAATTGTGTGTTTCAGGAGGTATGAACTTGCTATGCTAACACTATGCAGTGTCAGGGGTTCCTGTCCTGTTGTTTTCTACTTAGAGAAGAGCTTTCTACCCCAAGCTAACATAGTGCTAAGCTGACTGAAAAACTAACTCAGAAGCTTGTTTGTCTTTTACTCAATTGAATAAGCAAGGCTGTTCATAACGGCCTCTTTCAGGTCCAGCTTCTCTTTCATCTGAATCTTCCATGGCCTGAGCCCTGTCCTTGTTCTTTGGGTTCAGACTGATCCCACACACTGCCTGTGTGCCTGCTTGTGGAAAGAGAATGGAAAGCAAGCACTTCCATTGCAAGATTGAGACAGATGTTTCTCACAGGAGCTCTGTGTGCTTCCATCTGCCCAAGCTGTACTATGAGCACATCTAAGAGAGCCTATGGGGTGCAGTGCGCTTCTGGGCGGGGTGTCCTTTTAGCTAATAGGGGAAGGAAGACCAAGGTCAACACTGTTCAGTAGCTCTGAATCCAAGGTCAGTCGTATCTTATTCAATACTTGAAGATTCACAGTGTGTGGCTCAAAGGTTTAGGTAACTAGGTAAGATCCCCAGACATATCAGGTAGTTAGACTAGTAGGAATTTGAGACAGCTGCTGGTAAAATGGTCTCAGTTTCTGACCGTGTCATAAGTAACGTGCAGTTTTAGCCTTTCTTCATTTTAAAATGTGTATTTCACCATGTCATTGACAATTAATATGGAGAGAAACACAGTTGTTTTGAATTCTGATTGAAAATTAAGATAAACATGGTCTATGATATGGAGAGTAACTGTTTGAATGCAGAGTGTCTTGAGCCCTTTGCATTTCTATTCAGGTTTCCCATTTCTACTGTTTTAAGTTGTGCTGTATGTATTCTATTTTAGATGGAGTCATCTTAGACATCCCTGGAAATGGAGCCATATTTCTCTGTAGCATTGAACTTTGCTCTTCTCTGCAGCTTTCTCCATCAGGAGCAAAGACTATGACATTAATATGTACATTAAATTCTGGTTTATATAAATATACATTCAGTTTTCTCAAAACCGTGATAGTGAATATTGCACCCAAAAGATGTCTTCATTGTGAAGTATTTTGCCACTTTAATTATGGTGCCCTATAAGGTAACTTTGACCTGTAGTTGACTGATATTTAAGTTTTCCCCCATGACAGCAAATGAAAATTGTTTTATATCATACTCTAAAAGAAACTGGCATTTATTTACATGCTAGATTAAGTAATAAGGTTAAAAACTAAAAACATTTAAATTTGCTTTTCTTAGGACATGTCAGCTCAAGGATCCTCCTCACAGCTTCCTAAACCTTTTGATCCAGAGCCAGAAGCTAAATATGGCACACTGGACGTGACTTTTGACTATGACTCACAAAGACAGAAGCTTCTGGTAACGGTGACAGCTGTCACAGACATTCCAACATATAACAGGACAGGTGGCAACTCATGGCAGGTACACCTTGTTCTTCTACCTATAAAGAAACAGAGAGCCAAAACCAGCATCCAGAGAGGACCATGCCCTGTCTTCACAGAAACTTTCAGATTTAACCACGTTGAATCGGAGATGATCGGAAACTATGCAGTTAGGTTTAGACTATATGGTGTCCATCGTATGAAGAAAGAAAAGATTGTGGGGGAAAAGATTTTTTATTTAACAAAGTTGAATCTTCAAGGGAAAATGTCGTTACCGGTGATACTGGAACCTTCTTACAATCCTTCTGTGAGTATCTCATTGAATGCCCTGGATACAGTTTCTGTTCGTGGCATGTAACACACGCAACAGAAGAAGTCTATAACCAGCCCCACTGCCTCCACGCTGTGTCATTTGCATAGCAACCAGACATCTATCTAAGCCTTTCTGTTTTGTGATTCACTTCATGTGCTTTGTTCTCTCCTTCTGAGTTCTCAAGCAGGTCTTTGCATTCGTTCCTGTTGACCACCCTAATGACGGATTTTCATTATCCACACTCACTGCAGAAGTTACCCTTTTCCTCCTAAGTTAAACTAGATGGTGCAGGAGGAGCTGTCTAACCCATCTTATACAGAGTGTATACTGCTGCCCAAGATAGAATTATTTTTCTAGAACCACCACAAATTATTTTAAAAGTAAAAAACAAGTCCTTGTTATACTTTTCATCCTTTTTGAGAAAAGACAAAAGTATTTCTCAGTGAAAAATTATGGCCTCAAGCTTTTTAATTTTTTCCAGATTATAATATATATATGTATATATATATATATATATATATATATATATATATATATGACAAAATTCCCATGAGGCATTGCAGATTACAGGAGAGTAATGACTGCATTGTTTATTTAAACCAGGGAGATGCATTATGTCACATAGTTATTTCAGTATGAGAAAATCTGTGACTTGGGTAAGTGTAAATTATGACTTATATTTATTCCTTTCTGTGTTATATTGGAAAAAGAAACATTTTGTAATGTAAATATGCAGACTTGAGAATATATTTAAATTTTAAGTTAGAGGTCTGATGTTTCATGGTTGTTTCTAAGCTGTGACCGTGTCAGCCTAAAGCCTGGGCTCTAGCCTGTTGCATTATACCAGGCAGTACCTGAACCTGCCAGCTTCCATTCACCATGCAGCCAGACTACTTCAACCAGGTTCTTGCAGGGTCTTTATAAGGAAAAATGATGGTAGGTATAATACATCTTATGAATTTCCATTTTATTGATACAATTAACACCTCATTTAAAAATTTTAGAATAATCAATTTTGGGGAAATGCCATTTAAAGCATTTTCTTGTTCTTGAGGATTTCATACATGTGTACAATAAAATATGATCATATTTTCCCAAATTCCTCCCATGTCTCCCTCAACATATCCCCATCCCAGCTACATATTTTTTTTAAATAACCCACTAAGCCCGGTTAGTGCTGCCCATATGCATTGATGTGGGGCCATCTACGGGAACATGGACTCCTACCGATAGCCACATCCTCAGAAAAAGACTGATTCTCCCTCTCCCTCCCAGCAACTGTCAACTGCCAACAGCTCCTCAGTAAGGGGTACGACCATGAGACACATGATCTACCCATCTGTGATAGGACTTTGGCTGGCTTGATCCTGTACAGACAATGACAGCTACTGTGAATTTATGGATGCAGTAGTCACATCATGTCCAGAAAACACTTCACAGCACTCTTACCCATCCTCTGGCTCTTACCCTGCTTCTGCCTTCTCTTCAATGATGTTCCCTGAGCCTTGGGGGGATGGGCATTGACATGGGTGTCCCACATAGAGCTGAGCACTCAGTCTTATTCTCAGAACCTTGACCAATTGTGTTCTTTCCAAGTGACTCCTGTCCCCTGCAGAAAGAAGCTTCCTTAGCCAAGGGTGAGAGCAGCCCAGGGCCTTTGTCCTCCCCTGCCGTGGGGTTTTGTCCAGGATTACAAAGCTGAGCATGAAATTCTCTCTGGGGAAGCAGGTTTCAAATCTAACCAAAAAGTAGTTGTTTGCCCCATGTTTTGGTAAACATTGCTGTGAAAAGAAACCATGGCCAAGGCTTACACCTTTCCACCCCCAGGATTCTGCCTTTCTGCTTCCACATCACCTCTAATCTACTATCCCCTCTCTTAGAGCATCCCCAGGGCCCCTTCCTGGTTTCCTGCTTCCACTTGTGCTCTAAGTTAAACACACAAAACAGGAGATGTGACGCTAACCCCACATTTTGGAGAGAACACGGTGTTTGCCTTTCTTGGCATGGGTGCCTTCATGTAGAAGTTTTTCCATTTGCATTCATTTACCTGCATATTTAATGATTTCATTTTTCTTTACAGTTAAGTTGTATCCACTGTGTAAATGCCTTTTCAAACAGGAGTGCTTTATAACAGGAAAAAAGAAGGAGCATATGATGTTTCAGGGGTACACATTTTCATAAGCATGAAATATCCTGCTATTATTAATCTACTTTTTAAAAAATTTTCACTATCTACTATGTATGGATGAGTGGTAGTTTTCTATGGATAATAGGCTTTTATACAATAATAACTGAGTTAAATTAGAAGAGAAAAACTGGTGTCAAAACCTATGTGTTTGTAAATGCTTGGATACTTCATCTGTTCCCAGTTCTATATTAATTGTACTCTTTGCCATAAACAATAGAACATTTTTACTTCTGCTCAAACTAATGGTTCCTATATTGCATGCATTACTCAGTAGTCATGGATTCTGTAATGCTTTTGGTCAGGCAGTACAGTAAGTTCTAGGGGCTACTTCCAAGAAGGAGAAAGTGATAGGTAAGTAGCTTCTAAAACATACTATTTCCATCTACAGAAAGGTGTCTGTCTTCTGCTCTTAGGAGTTTCCCCTAGGTGGCAGTGTGGCTGTCAAATTTAGTAGCTGCATCTCGTTACTCTTTGTCCTTGCTTGGCCCTTCCCATGCTTTCAGAATCTTAGAATTAGTCACATTACAGTTGTTAGACCAATTTATAATACTATTATACTGAATATAAAAGTATAATATCAATTGGTGGCCATGCCTTTAATCCCAGCACTCAGGAGGCAGAGGCAGGCAGATCCCTGTGAGTTCAAGGCCAGCCTGGTCTACAGAGCGAGTGCCAGGATAGGCTCTAAAACAATACAGAGAAACCCTGCCTTGGAAACATAAAACAAAGCAAAAAACCTCATGTATTTTCTGTATGTGCTTTAGTACTAATGTGTTCTCTTTGCTTAACTTTTAATATAAGATGAATGAAGAATTCTTGTTATTATTCTTTGAGAGCTTCACTTTGATTCTGTAAAGCATGTTTATGAGGTACATTTGTGGGGGGAAGATAACTCCCATATTTAGTCATTCTGGTAGCTTTCTAGTGATTATTATTGCTATTATTGCAAGAATATTAACCTTTCACCAAGGAAGTCTCCATTCAGCACCTAAATTTGCAAATTACTTTAAAAATATGTTTAAAGTTTGCAGTTTATTTCATATACAATGATATAATTCACTTATAGTATTTAGTTTCATAGATAGTTGTTCAGGAACTTCTTGAGTCAGGACACATAAAATGACTTTTTTTTTAAGAACTCTGTGACGTTTTTTGCTACTGGAAAGATTAAAACAGCATTGAAATATGGCTGTACCTTGAGTGTGCCTCCTTGACCACTGTACATAGAAAAAATGTGTTGAAAGTTGAGAGATGTGAGTTCCATTTCGACCAGCTATGTAAGCTTTCTAAGGTATATTGAGCATCAAGTTTCTGATGACTAAAATGAAAGGGGTGTGATAGTCAGAGGACAGGTCCCAGTGTGTGATAGTCAGAGGACAGGTCCCAGGGCCCGATTCCCTCCTTTCAGCATGCGGGTCCTGGGTTCAAACTCAGGTCATCAGCCTTGGTGGTAAGTGCCTTTATCCACTGAACCAGGGATGGGGTAGTGTTTGCACTATCAGTGTTTGCAGTGGGCAGGTACCATTTTCTAGCTCTTCCTCACCTTTTCAGCTCTCTAAAGCCTGAGGAAGTCCACCTCCTTTTGACACTCTGTAATACTCACTCTCCCAGGCTTCTTGAGGTCTAGATTTACATTTGATGTTTGTTTTGCACTACAACACAAGCCAGAGAAGTACTGAAAGTAGCCCTGTGACAAAGGGAATCTCATTTTTAAGGTTAGAAGTAAAGGAAACAATTTTGCAGATGTTCACTCTCTGTCTTCTCCATGCAGTAGACATCATAGGAACTTGCAATAATCTGGGAAAATGTCTGTTGGAAAGTTATATTTAATTCTATTCCAGGTAAAGAATAATTGTGTCCATAAGAATAATGTAAGTAATAAATTAGTCTTTACATTTCCTGTTTGTTTCAAGAATTAAATTTTTGTCACTAGACATGCACATGTTCCTGAGGTCCTTCCATGCCTTTATTCCATACTTGGATCTATTGAAGGAAAATGCACACTCAGAGGTGTTAGGTCTGTCTGCATGTCCCTCCGATGGAAAGGCTAATCCCCTTCACCTCCTTGGTAGCTACCCATTCTGAGCCCTTTGCAAGGTTGCAATGGTGCTGAATGGGAGAAACAATGAGTGTGGAACCTTTGTAGTTACTGTAAATAGGATTTGCTGTTGTGTGATTAAACAGCCTCCCTACTCAGTTTGAATATTTCTAACTTTTTGTTGTAGATTTATTATACCTGTTATTTTTTGGAGTTACTATTACAAATGTAATGATTATATTTTCTTTCTTAGGCCCAGAATTTGGATTTATTCTATTATATAATTACCTGATATCATATAATCAAGTATATAATTTGTTTAGAAAAACTATATCTTTATATTTCTATAGTTTGTTTACTTCACTTTAAAGGATCAATGTTACCTATAGGTTAATGTTCCGTGTCACTTGCTCATCAAGAGTTTTCGAGTGGATTTAGGCTTTTTTTGTAATTTATTTATTTTTTTTATGTACATTGGTGTTTGCCTGCATTTACATCTGTGTGAAGCTGTTGGATCCCCTGGAACAGAAAGTACAGACAGTTATGAGATGTCATGTGGGTGCTGGGAATTGAACCTGTCTTCTTGAAGAGAAGCCAGTGCTCCTAAATGCTGAGCCATCTCTCCAACCCCAGCTTTAGGCTTTCTGTTTGTTTTGTTTTGTTTTGTTTTAGTTTTTCGAGACAGGATTTCTCTATGCAGCCCTAGCTGTCCTGGAACTCAGTCTGTAGACCAGGCTGGCCTTGAACTCAGAGATCCTCCTGCTTCTG